AAAAAAAACTTTGGGAAAAAATAGATAAAATTAAAAAAATAAAAAAAAAAAAAAAAAAGGAGAAAAATTGGGAGCTGATCATGATAGGAGACACCAAAATTTGAACATTGGATAATATAAACACCAAATTATTATGGGTTTTCGAAATCCTAGATCGCAAAAACTAGATAATTGGAGGAGAATTCGGGAGAAATAGTAGAGGATTTGGGGCACCTGACGGAATTGCGCTGTCCACGAAGCTCGGGCGGGAGCTTCCGGTCGTTGACGGCGTCAATTACCGCCGATAGACGGTCCACCAACTTCTTCTCCGTCTTCTCCGACTTACCTGACAGCGAAGAAGACGGCGACAACGATGATGATGAGGAGGAAGGGCGACTGAGTGTGGGACCGCCGCCGTGGCCAACCGCCATCGCCGCGAAAGTCAAATTCTCCGGCGCCGGTGATCTCCGGAGCAGAGATGACGAAGATGATGATATTATTCTGGTGAGGCGGATCGCCATGGCTCGGTTTCAAGGTTGCCCCTTTCCTTTGCTTCCTTCGCAAGGGGAGGCCTTTGTTGGTTTGCTTGGTGCCATAATGGCGGCTAAACTTTTCCCACGTGTTGTTGTGTAAACGTGGGGATGCTCTTTACTACCACGTGTCGCTAATAATTTTCTATTTGGAACTCATTTTCATGTGAAAAAATGCGCACCATTAATAAAAGTGGATTTCATCTATAAACTTTATATAAAATTCTGTAGTTTATTAATAAGTGATATTCAGTACCATTTATGCACAATTACTTTATATTTTATTTTATAAAACCCTTGAAAAATGAAAATAAAAATGTCTCATACTTCATGAACATTTATTAAAATACTAGTTAGGAGCACGTGCAAATGCGCGTGCCTTGTTTGAAGCAGTTTTTCTCAACCTTTTTCCCTTTCCGTGGAACATGATATTTACATGTATTACTACAATGTTACTTCAGATGAAAAATCATATTTGCATATATTATTACACTGTTGATTCAAAACACTAGCATACTAAAATTCAAGGCATGTTTACTTCTCTTTTTAATCTAATAATATGTTTACTTATAAAATTAGTAATAAAGATTTAGTAGACCCCGTGTAATATAGAAAATGAGAAAAAAATATTAATCTTTACACCCTTTTAGTATTGATTTCTTATCAAAGAAAATGAATGTTAAATTTATTTATCTACCCTTAATAATATGTTTACATTCATTTTCTTTGATTAAATATTATTTTAATCTTGATTGGCAAGGGTAAGCATGGCATTTTCAAGAAAATAATTACTTCAGGGGGTGTTTTATGTATGTTTTTACAAAAACAAGTGATATTTTGGGTATTATCATAATAAGAGGGGTGAAAGTGAATTTTTGTCAAAATATGGAGGATGTTTTGGGTATTTTACCATTAAAATAGAATAAAAACCAATCTAAGAAAGAAAGATGTGCAATGATGAAGATAGTGAAGGATAACATCGTTCTCAACCAACCAGGAACCGTGAAGATCATCCCCGAAGAGCCAGACGACCTATGGCTGCTCTACAACCTCATTGCCGCCGGCGATGTCATCTCCACCGTCACCTCCAGAAAAGTACACGGCGACGGCGGCAGAAAGGCTAAGGCCACCACGCGCGTCAGAATCACCCTCGACATCTCCATCGCCACGGTCGATTACGACAAAGCATCATCGACCGTGCGAGCCAAGGGCAAGAGCCTGACCTCCAACGAGTACGTCGCTTCTGGATCGTTCCACACGATCGAGATCGAGACGAACAAGGAGTTCGATTTGAGGAAGAAGGTTTGGGACTCGGCCGCCATCGACGCCTTGCGCGAGGGCTCTCAAAAGGCCTCCAGCGCTGATCTCGCGGTGGTTCTCATCGAGGAGGATTTCGCCGCCGTGTTCTTAATTGGAGGCAGATCGTCGAAGGTTTGCCCTAGAATCAATGCTCCAAAATCGAAGAAATCTAAATCCAACAAGTTCTTCGAAGACATCTTCGCCGTCTTCGTGAAGTACGTGAACTTCGACACCGTCCGTTGCGCGGTGATCGCGAGCTCTGGATCGGCGAAAGACGAGTTCCGACGCTTTCTTCTCACGGAAGCGCAGAAATCAAAGCTGAAAACCCTAGAAAAAAATAAATCTCGAATCGTTGTCGCGACTACGAAAGGGAAAATCCAGAGCTTGAACGAGGTACTCCACGATGAGGCGGTAATGAGCTTGGTCGGGAACACGAAGGCGGCCATGGAAATTAAGGCTTTCAAGGAGTTTTCTGATGCATTATCTAGCAATTCCGATCAGGCGTGTTACGGAGAGAAGAGCGTGGAGATGGCGCAGGAGATGACGGCGATCGAGACGCTTCTGATAACGGACGATCTGTACAGCAGTGGAGACATCGCGACTCGGAGGAAGTATATGGAACTGGTTAAGGCGGTGAAGAAAGGTGGAGGGAATGCGTTTGTGTTCTCGCCGGAGCAAGGCTCCGGCGAGGAGCTGGCGAAGCTCACCGGTGTGGCGGCGATTTTGAGATTTCCTGTGCCGGATATTGATTATTTGGTTATATAGTTAGAGATTTTTTTAATGGAATTTTTTATTTTCATTAACGTGGGTGGGAGGTTGGTAGACCTCTTGGAAGTTGGAGGTAGGATTTTTTTTTTTTTAAGTTTCATAATTATTATTTGCATAATGGATAGGAAATTTTTGTAACTCTATAAATTATTATTTGAGTGGAAATTTATTGGTCCTTTCTTATATATACGACAAAATTATTCTTTTTTGTTCTTGAATCGGCTCAGTGAACGTTTAATTTATGAATTCAGAACTATTCTTAGTTTACGTTTATTTTTTTGTGAGAAACTACTGTAGTGAGATACGAATCATGTTACGAATCCTTATTCCAAACACAGTTAAAGGCAACTAATTTTTTTTTAATGTTTTATATCCACGTGGAAAAAAGAAGGCACAATGTTCTCGTCGGAGCAAGGCTCCAGCTCCAGCGAGCAGCTAGCGAAGCTCACTGGTGTGGCGGCGATTTTGCGATTTCCCGTGCCGGATATTGATGATCTGGTTATATAGTTGGATATTTTTTTTAATGAATTTTCTATTTTCATTAATTTGGGAGGGTCGTAGACCTCTTGATCTTGGAAGTGGGAAGTTGGACGTAGGATTTTTTTTATTTTTTTTGTTAGTTTTATAATTATTATTTGCGTGATGGATAGGAAATTTTTTGTAACTCTATAAATTATTTTTTGAGTCCAAATTTATTGGTCCTTTCTTATATATAGACCATAATTCTATTTTTCTGCTCTTGAATTGGCTCTCACTGTCTTACAAATGTTCTTTAGGGATATAGTTCTGGCTCTGCAAGTAGTTTTTTTTTTAACGTTTTATATTCATCATCCCGAAATAACAGTAAAATAATTAACATCACATTTAAACGACAGCTCTCCACGACAAGTTTTTATATTTTCATTGTGATTATCACTAAATATGAAAATTTAATAAAAATTTAATTTTATTAATTATTATAAATTTTTTTAATTAACTGTATAATTTATAATTATTATATTAATATTTTACCGTTAAAACAATATTAATAGTTAAATATTAGAATAATTATTAAAATCACAGTCACAAAACTGACAGCATTCACATTAACCACAGTTCTAAAAAATGATTATCTCTCAACAGACGATGTCATCTTTAAAATGAGACCACAGAAAATAGACAAAATTAAAAACACATCATCTTACGACAAAATCTAATATAACGACATCATCACAAAACGACAGAACATTCCAAAACCAATATCGGCTTCAAAAATGACGACAAAAAAAGTTAGCAGTAACATCCAACAACTAGACTAGCTCAAGAAAACGGTAATAAATTGGAAAAACGGCATGATCTTTAAACGATAATGATCCGAGAACCTATAAGGTTAATATATACCGCTTTAGCCAAAAAAAAAAAAAAAAAAAAAAAAAAAAAAAAAAAAAGGAAAAGAGGAGAGAAGAAGGAGGAGGAGGTATTATACCGAGAACATTCTAAAAATCATAATAATAAATGTTGAGAACGACATAGCTTCTAAAAAAAAAATTATGACCCGTTTAATTCGATGATTCGAGTTTTTAATTTGAGTTGATATGTGATTTTATGTGAGCTTTTTACTGTAATAAAAAAATTAAATGTGACTATTTCTAAGAGCTTTTTACTACAGTAAAACTCAAATCGATAAAATGAACGGAACCTTAATTAATTTTAAAAAAGGACAACAGCTTAATTATAACGACAAGGTATCGAGACAACCTCAATAGGTATATCACCAAAAAAAAATGTCGATTTTAAAAATAAAATAAAAATCATCTTTAATAACGAGAACATTATAAGTGATTAGGTGGAACTCTACTTTCAGACCGATGCGATAAAGATTTTGAGAAGGCGTTGAAGCAGGCAGCTTACTCTGAGCTACCGTTGCAGCCGGATTTCCTTTTGCTGCTTGCTTTTTCTTTATTCACTCTTTCTTTTTGGCTGAAAGTTTTATTTTTTCAGTGTTCAGTTGTGCAATGCAATGTTAATTTGTGAGGAGCATTGTAATGTGATATGCGAAAATTAGGCCGTGCTACACCCATAGTACCTCAACTTTTTGACTTGTAAAAAAAAAAAAAAAAATCAAAGCTATATTTATTTTTCTCATGCAATTTTTTTATGACACATGTCACACCTGCTTAAAATTTTCCAATATTCGAATAAAAAGACAAGACCTAGAATCTCTTTGTTCTTACAATAAAGAAATTGAAATATTAAATGCATAAAAAATTTGCATGAGAAAAAAGTTCAAGTAATATCCATGAATTTAACTCTAATTATTTTTCTTGTTTGTACCCTTTTATGGATGAAATTGTGAATTATTCTGATGCGGTTATGGATACCTTTTTGTTGTTGCTGAAGGAGGACTGAGGAGTTCTCGAGTTTAGTGGATTTTAAGAGTGATTTAATTCGTACAATACTTTTGACACGTTTAGTTTGCTGATTTGAGTTTTTAATTCAAGTTGATATGTGATTTTATGTGAGAATTTTTTACTGTAGTAAAAAAGTTAAATGTAACTGTTTCTGAGGTGCCGTTTAGCTTTATTTTTATTGGATTCAATACTAGTGGTGCCAGCATTTCAAAAGAAAAAGAAAAAAAAAATGAAAACCAGTATTGTCAACAAACATTTGGTAACTTTTATGACGGGAACTCCATTTTTACCCTGCATGTAGGTACTTCAGTTTTAATTATTAAATTAACTTTTTAACGGTAAAATTTAAAAGTGTTCATCTTAAAAATTTAAAGCGCAATATAAAATCGTTATTAGCTATAGATTATATCATTGAAAAATTAATTCAATAATTTAAATAATAATATCTAACTGTTAAAAAATTAATTTAATAGTTAAAATAACAATATCTACCAATAGAATAAAAATGAAGATCTTACTATAAATTTTGCCCAACTATTTTTCTCTTTAGCAACTCATTGTCCTATATAAAAATCTATGAAGAAACGTTTCATGTTTACATAGCTTATGTTTCTTAAATTTTAAATCACATCGAAAGGGTGCAATTATGGTGAAAAAAAGTTATTTTATTCTATTCAGAATTATATTTTAATCGTTAGATTAGTTTGTCAACAGCCTCACGCTCTGTAAATTTTTAATATGAATATGCTCGGATCTGAGTATTAAAAAAATTAATCCAACAGTTAAAAACAACAGTTCCTACTAGTGGAGTAAAATATCCTTCTCCACCAATAAAAATTCTCCACATTAAAATAAAAAGTACACAAAATTAACCCCAAACTTAATATAAATTTTGACCGTTAATAAGCATAATTTTTAATACATGAGGAAGTAATCTGGAGCAAGTCATTAATCTTTTCTCCAAAATTAAAATTCCCTTTTTATTATATACTGCATAATGTCTTACTTTAATACATGAGGAAATTACACATTACTTCATCATGTACTAATTGATGCGTTCATCGCTTACTAATTAATTTATAAGGAGCACTAACGTTTGTTTCTTATATTCGTCCCTGATTCTAAATTATAAATCATGATTCTCTACAGTCTTTTCTCTCACAAAAAATACACGTAAAACGAGAATGATTATAAATCATAATTCTGAATACATAAACTAAACATCCCCTAATCCCGATTAGGAGATATCCTCATCAAACTCATAAAGTGGCCCCAACCGCTGATTTCCACAAAAGACCCATTTCTATGTGTGATGAGAATAAAATCCCAATTAAGTAAATTAGCATTTTTCATTTAGAAGTATTTTTATTTTTGACTTGTAAAGACAGAGTTTACTTCTTTAGAGGGGAAAAAAAATACGACGAGATTTTTAATCTAATTATGCTAAAATAATAAATGAATATCCTTTACATCCACAAAAATTCATACTTCTTGTTCTTGAGACCAGCCGGAGCCCATAGCCATATTATACAAAAATTCAAAAACTAATTGGAAATTGTAGTAAATATCACATTTTTGAAACTAAATTAAATAAATAGTAGATTTTTTAAACTATTTGAAATATATTACAGTTTATCATGTAAACATGTCATTTATGATTGATGAAAAATAATTTACATGGTAAAAAAATTTTATTTACGTGAAAAAGTCTTTTTAGCAATCGTAAAAAGAAAATTCACGTGAAAAAAAAAAAAATTTACTAGACCTAAATGAAATATCTACACAGTAAACTCTTATTTACTTTAAATAATTTTAAAATCTTCTATTTACTTAATTTAGTTTTATAACCTTACTATTTACTACATTCTCCCAAAATTAATTATAGAACAGAGAAATATCAATTATCTGGAGGAAGCACAAAGATGAAATGCGGACATAATTACGCACGCCACTTTTACAAAATTATGGATTATGGATGAATTCAATTCATAAGATTACAAGGACAAAGTGGAACTCCCAACAGACGGAAAAAAAAAAAAAAAAAAAAAAAAAAAAAAAAAAAAAAAAAAAAAGACTTGAAAAAAAAAAATCCAAAAGAAAAAAAAAAAAAAGTATCATAATCAATAGTGGCCTTTGTTTCCATAGTCATTATCATCATCTTGGGAATTATTGCTAGTATAAACAGGTTTCTCACACATGGGAGTTGTGAAGTAAAACGAGACATGGTTGTATTTAATGGTTCATGGATTAGAATCATGATATTATAATTATTTTCGATTTACGTGTATTTTTTGTGAGAGAAAATACTGTAGCGAACTATAAACCATGATTCGAATCGGAGTACGAATTCCCTTACCAAACGTCACTAGTTCAAAACATTATAATCCAATTTGATATATTTTTTTTCGGTTGTTCCACTAAAAAAATTCTCCTCGTGGGAATTGGGGATGAGTGGATTTGGAATTGAAAGGCTCTTCTATGAAACTCAATTGTAATTTTTAGAAGTCAAAAGTATATGGTACTAAATAAAGATATTTCCATTTTCAGAAATCTTTTTTTTTCCCACAAAATTCTACGGTACCATATATGAAAAAATACCTTACCAGTAGGAGCCTATTCTAAATCCTTAGATTTTGTTATTTTACATATATATTTTTTTTAATATAAGGTCAAAATACTATAGCGTAGAAAGCCTTTTTTTTTTTTTTTTACAAAAATTTATTCTTGCCTTTAATATGCTTGGCATCTTGAACCCATTTGTTCCACCCTCGCAATCTGATGGCGTTGATTCTTCCAAATATCCTAAAGCCTGGAAGCAGATTATATATATATATACATACATATATATATATATATATATATATTATGGTCGTTCTTGGGAGACTGGAAGTGGAAGGGCACAACTTGCGACTTGCAAGCCATTTAGCAGTTTAGTCAGAAGAATAATGTATAGTTTATTATATTCCTGATGGTTTCTAGCGGACAATATAAGATATGGGATGCTCCTTCAAGAAAAAAAAAAAAAAAAAAAAAAAAAAAAGGGAAAGAAAAATATGCGATGAATTTTATGAAGGTTGTAGGATCCGTTTGGTTCATAACAACAAACAAGGCTGTAATAATTTGCAAATATTTAACATTTCAATATGTACACCGAGTGGCCTAGTTAGGAACTTTTTTCAATGGGAGTGAAAGTGAAACCAAAATTTTAAATTAAAACAATACAATTATTATTTTTTAATCTAAATGAATCAATTTTCTAGTTAAATTTAATTCACTTTTCAAGTTCTCCTAGTGTTATTGATTATTGGTTTATTTCACAATTTATACTTGAAATATGAGATACTCAAAAGTTAAATTTTGGGGGTATAGTTAAAATGTTTTTGAACATTTCATATAAATGCAATAAATGGAAAATTTTAAGAGGAGATATAAAGGGGAAAAAAGTAGAAAATTGAAAATAAGATAAAAGTTAAATTTTAAGTATAGTTGAAATGTTTTAAAACATTTTATATGAATTTCATAAATGAAAAAATTTAGGGGGAGCTTTATAAGAAAAAAATATTAAAAAATTTTAATTTGAGTAGTATTAAAGGAACCGACTTAAATCAGAGGGCCGCGGCCGCCCCCACTCGGCCTAAGGTGGCTCTACCACTGTGTACACCTGCTCTATGTCTATGTTAGTCAACGGGAAGCAAAGCCAAATTACATGGTCTTATCAGCATAAAAAACAATGACAAAATGTTAGCAGCAGCATCAAAAGAGCGACACTAGCTCAAGAAAGCGTTAATAAATCGGAAAAACGGCATGATTCTTGGATTGATAATGATCCGAAAATAAAACGTATCACCACTGCAAATGCTAACCCCAAGGCATAAAAAACGTGATAATAATATATTTAACATTTTTTTTTATTTGTGCCCCAATGTTTAATATTATTTTGTATGATAAATTTATTTTTTACCATAATTATTAAGTTTTAAAAATTGTAAAAGTAAACTTTTGATTTTATAATAATTTTAAATATAAATGCTGCAAGAAAAAATGTAAACATATCAACCAATAACAATAAAAAATGCTATATTTATCATATGTATACTCAGATAATAAATTTGCCATATGACACCAAATAACACTACATTAGAGCAAGCCTGCCTGCCTCAATGCATTCTCGAACTCTTCATCATTATTTTTAACCTGCGAAAAAAAAAAAAAAAAGGTTAAAAAGAGTAAAATTCAGACAAACTAAAATTTTATTTGAAAAACAAAAACAAGCATGCCTCATATATACCTCAATAGCTTCGGTCTGAAAGTAGAGCTCTATCTTTCTTATTGTTTCAGCGTCTCTATCACCACATATAAGATTAAACACAGCTCCTGCAGGTAGCACAAAACACACATTATTGTTGATCGTCACCACAAATAAAATGACTATCACTTAAAGAACTTTCGACTTTCTTTTTGAATAAGAAACAAAGAATTAACATAAACCACCCAGTACACATGATCAGCAACTTACCCTTGCGGCCAAAACGCCCTGCCCTACCTATCCGGTGCAAATAGACCTCATAATCCGGCTCATGTGTTTCATACTTGATTGGCAGATCATAATTAATGACCAAATTAATCTGCAAATCCAATCTATGTCAGCTTGCCTGTCTTGAGCACTTAAGGTTTTGTGTTCTATGTTCACATATCAAAGCAATAGCTACAAGAACAACAAATATATGATAGATAAAGAACAAGGGAGAGGAGGTAAAGATGGTACCTGTTGTTGATCGAAACCTCGGGCAAGGAGGTCAGTTGAAATCAACACTTGAGAAAGACCACTTCTGAACTCGTTTATGAGCTTGTCTCTGTCTTCCGGTGTGATGGCACCCTGGATGCTTGAAACAGTATAACCATCCTCAGTAAGCTGCTTGTGCAGCATGCTTGCACTGTTTCTTGTTCGAACAAAGATAATCCTTTGCCCAAGATTCTCGCCCAGATCAAAAATCCGCTCCTTAATAATTTGGATTTTTGCCAGCTCATCGTGGCAATAGACTTTATATTGCTTTACTGCCTCCAGTGACAACTCCTCTTTCTTTACAAAGAGCTGATTGTATGATTTCACAATCTTCGAAACAAAATTTTTTACAGTTTCATTAAAAGTTGCAGAGAACAGAAGCACCTGAAAGACAATGGTAACCGGAAAAAAAAAATGGTCAATCACACCATTTCAATCTACAAAAGTCAACTGCAGAAGTAGTACTTTGAAAGACATCATGAAAGAACATGAACATAAGAGATAAAGAAAAGAATACTAAGCAGATCTAGCTCATAATTCATGACTGAAATGTTTAACTAGATGCTATTTCAACAAACCTGGCAATGAGAACTGCTTCTCTCAATGTCCTTCTTTATCCTCAAGGAATCATCCTTGAAACCATCCTGCAGCAACGTCAATGAGCATCAGAAATAAGGGGCATATAAAGCCTTCTGGACTTTGATCAAACCTCAACTAGACAGGAAAAATAACGTTACCTCAGCAAGCATGTGATCAGCCTCGTCAAAAACAAGAATCTTCAAATAACTAGTACCCAACTTCTTCGCGGACATCCACTTCTTTATTGTGCCAGGAGTGCCAATTACTATTTGAGCAGAGATTGGGGCACGTTTGGAAATCGGCATGTAGTCCCTGCTGTCCATTGGAACAGCACACTCAGAAGTTATCCCAGTGTATTTTCCCATTTTTCGTAGAACTTCCATATTCTGCCACATTTATTTTGTATTGTCACAACAACAGAATACATACCACATAATTTCTACTTCAAAATAATAGTAAATAGAATAGTTTTTTTGCAGAAAATAAGTCTACATGTACGCTCGAGGTTTCATAAAGTTTGCATTTTGGGCAAATACTACCAGATTCTACGCCCATTCGTTTCAGTATCGTCATAAAAGCAACAATAAGCATATAATTTTCACTTTAGCATCAACAACACAGTACAATTTCCACTTCAAAAAGACAGTGAAGAGAGAAATTATAATCTGTAACGAACAAACAAGTTCATATCTTTGGTCCAGGTTTCAAAAAAAATCGACACACAAAACTAAATCTTTTTGGAAAATGGTCTAACAAAATCTCATCTTTTGTCCACAGAAGCTGCTGATTGCTTACAGATTCAAGTAAACAAAATCTCATATTTTGTCTACAGAAGATGCTAACAGATTCAAGTAAACGAGTAAACAAACGAATAACCAAATAAAATCTAGAGAAAGATTACCTGAATGGCCAACTCTCTAGTAGGGCAAATGCAAAGAGCCTGAGGGGCCGTGAGCTTGGGATCAACGCGACTCAACATTCCAAGAACGAAGCAAGTAGTTTTACCGGACCCGTTATGAGCTTGAGCAATCAAATCCTTGTACGGAGGGGTCAAGATCATCGGCAAACTTATGGCCTGAATCTTACTCGGCTTCTGAAACTTCATCTCCACATACAAGCCCTTGAGCAACTCCGGCGACAGATTCAAATCCTCGAAAGTACTCGCCGACGTGTACGGCGTATCTCCGGACGTAACCTATTGCCCCAAAATCGAAAATAAAAAACGTCAAAGTTCTCCCAAAAACCCTAAATCCTAAATCCAAACTTCTCAAATCGAGTAAAGAGAGACTTACGGCTTTGATGTTGCTATCCTCTGGTTCATCGAGGAACTTGTTTATCTTCTTGCTCTCGTCGATTTTCAAGCCGTCGAGGCTAACCTCCGAAGTCGAACCGGACACCCTCGTCGGCTCCTCGGGAGCGTCGTCCTCGATGTCTCCCCAGCGCTTGGGCTCCGCCGCCGGTGGCTTCGTCTCCGTCGTCGGCGGCGCGGCGGTGGCAGTGGCGGTTTCGGCGTCAGCCATGGCAGCCCGAAAGTTTTGTCTGAAAGTTTTGTCTGAAGGTTTTGTGGTATGAGTTTGGTCCTTGGAAAACGATCGTGGAATGCAGAGTTCGGTACTATAAGACTATGGCCCGTTTTAGTTCGCTGATTCGAGTTTTTAATTTGAATTAAGATGTAATGTTATGTGAGAATTTTTTACTGTAGTAAAAAAGTTAGATGTGACTATTTCTTAGAGCTTTTTACTGTAACAAAACTCGAATTCTAAACTCAAATCGACAAAGTGAACAGGTTCTATATATTTTCTGCTTCAGGTTTACAATTCAAGTTTTGTTAGAATGAAAAACTCTAAAAAATAATTATATTTAATTTTTTTATTATAATAAAAAATTCTCATATAAAATCACATATTAATTTAAATTAATGAATTAAACGAGTCCTATAGTTCTTTTTAAACTGGAGCTGTCATTCATTTCCACTCAAACTCAAAAAAATTTAAACTCAAATTATAATTTTATTTAAATTTGTGTTTTTTTTTTTATAAACATTGAGTTTTAACTTAAGTTATGAGCTAAAATCTGAGTTCAAATTCTCTATTCAACTCAAGTTTCTAAACTCAAACTCAAGTTAATGAATAATATTTTTTATATTCTTAAAAACGTAATAACTATTTCATTTTAATTCCGATTAAGATGATTTTTTTTCTATGCGTTCATAACGAAAATACGAATAAAACCTCACTCATATACCTTATTAAAATTTTTCATCACCATTGAGTTTTTATTAAAATACTATCGAAATATAAATTCAAGTTTTGACTCACTCAAACACAAATTCAAATAGATTTTTAATTCAAACACAAACTCAAAATGTGTACATCCAACACAAACTCAAATTAGAGTCACAACTCAAACCATACTCAAATACACTTTAACTCAAATTAAGATCTCTACTCAAGTCATCCTAACTCAAAAAATATAAATGAATAAGCCCAGAGTTTTAAAGTGGGCATCTAACCCGCTCAGTTCGAGTTTTTAATTCGAGTTGAGATGTGATGTTGTGTAAGAGCTTTTTACTGTAGTAAAAAAGTTAGATGTGACTGTTTTTTAGAGCTTTTTACTGTAGTAAAACTCAAATCAGCGAAATGAACGGAAGTCTTTCTCGAACTAGGATTTACATAGCAAGTGATCATCAAAACCAATCCGGAATTCCGGATATTCTAATAACAATAATAATTATAATGAGAGAAAATGTGATATTGATACCCGTAATTGTCTTTTCAATATTTTATATTTTTTATACATTTGAATTGGTACTTGATTATTTTAAAAAATCTTTAAAAATTATTTCATTTAATAATTAAATAGAGACAGATTTTAATATAGTCACAAATGAGTGCTAAATATAAGAGTATTCGACTACAGATAAAAATTAGATCCACCAATAAAAATAAATGAGGTATAAAGATGAATACAAATATTGAGACCCGATGGAGAAAGACTCGCCCAACACACTAATAGTAGCGCACGACAAAAACTCGTTTAACAAAACCACTATAATTGAGGTTAATTTTTAAGACGTAAAATGTCAAATTTACTTTTATCGTTAATTAACCAAAAACTTATAAATTCTAAACAAATTCTGAAAATATTTTTAAACAAAAGATATAAAGATGATTATTTTGATTTTTTGGCGTTTGAATTATTTTATTTTGTTCTTTACATTCTCAATGTCGTTCTGCAACTTTTTTAGAAAAGAAAAAAAAAATGTCGTTATTTTCAAACTGTGATATCACTTAAATTATCGAGAGAGGGACCTAAGAGCCCACCAGGGACTCACCAAACAATAGCTTTGTTTTTAGAAAAATTATAATAAATAACATATTTTAAAATTATTTGAAGTAAATAATAATTTATTATATAAATGTGTCACTTACGATTGGTAAAAAAATAGTTTATATGGTAAACAAATTTTGTTTACGTGGAAAAAAAATCTTTTCAGTAGTCGTAGAAAGAAAATTTATGTAAAAAGGATCTTTTTACTAGTTATAAATGAAACAATTGCATTATAAATTACTATCTACTTCAAATAGTTTTAATATATACTATTTACTTAATTTAGTTTCAAAAATCTACTATTTACCACATTCTCCTTTGTTTTTATCATTTTTTTCCAATTTGAAACACCAATTGAAGGAGAGTATTATAAGGGCAATGCTGTAAAATTGGTAGGATCAGGATTATAAAAGAATTGATGTTAAGCTTGTTTCTTTGGCATTGCAAGCTCAGTAAGTATGAACTTGGCCCCGTTCATTTCGTTGATTCGAGTTTTGCTACAGTAAAAAGCTCTCACAAACAATCACATCTAACTTTTTTGCTACAGTAAAAAAACTCTCACATAAAATCACATCTCAACTCGAATTTAAAACTCGAATCAGCGAACTAAACGGACCCGTATGTCTACATTAACGCATACACCACTCTTGTAAGAGCTCTTGTAAGATAGCACAGAATACACTTAATGTTCACTTATCATTGCGACGGAAGCGGCGGTTTCAGAATCAGCGATTTTGGAATCGGCCACGAGCAGGGATCTCAAAGAGTCAAAAGTTTTGTCTGATTTCCAACCTCTGAAGAGAATGAATGAATGTCCTGAAAGTTTCGGTCTACGGACGGTCTATTTATAAGGGTTTTTGGCACAATTGCCTTCTAAACTTGTTGTGGTTTAGCAAATTGCCCTCTAAACTTTTAATTTTGACAAGTTACCCCTCGAACTTGTAAATTTACTGCAATGTGCCCTATTTTAACAAAAATTGCTCAAATTTTTTATTAGATTTAAGGGATTAAAAGTTGAGATATTGAAATATTTGTGTTACATTTTAATTGAAATGTTTAAATTTTTAGCTAAACCTATTTTTTTGACACTAATTTAACACAATCGTCGTCAAAGTGTGACATATTACAACAACTTTACAAGTTGAGGGGGCAACTTGTCAAAATTAAAAGTTTGAGGGGCAATTTGCTAAACTATGACAAGTTTAGGGGGTAAATGTGCTAAAAATTTGGTACCAATATGCGGTTAATTTCTTGATTGAACAAAATATACGCTGTTATTTTTCTTCTATAAACTTATAAGCAAAAATTTCTTCTATAAACGAGAGTTTTTAGCATAACTGCCCTATGAATTTACCATAATTTAACAAATTGCCCTCTAATTTTTTTTATTACTAAATTTAACAAATTGCCCTCTAAAATTTTTGTTACATTTGAATTAGGATGTTAAAAATTTTTGTTGAACGTGCTTTTTTAACACTAATTTAATACAATCATCAAAATGGGGCATATTGCACGATAAGTTATCAAAATTAAGAATGTAGTGGGTAAGCTGCTAAAGCCATATAAATTTAGAGGACAAATGTGTCAAATACATATAAACAACTATCATTTAAAAAATAAATAAAAAATGATGTGAAAATTCGTCTAGAGACGTAATTAAATAATGAGATTATTATTTCTAAGTTTAATCTCATAAAATTATAATTTTATGATAATTAAATATAATCAAAATTTTGTAATATGCAAATGCAATCATTATCATAAAAAATGCAACTTTAATCTAATGTACTAATGTTCATCGTTGTAATTGACGAAATCGAATAAGAAAACTCTGTTATAATCAAGGAACATGAGCAAAATGATATAGGAAATTTTGAAAAGGTGGATAATGTTTCAGTACAATATGCACTTATAATAACTATCATAAAGATTACAATTTTATTATAGAATCGTATCAAAATATACCAAAAACAAAAAGGAAAATGGGTAGCACGGATTACTTTTTTCTTAAGATAAAATCATAAGATTACAGAATGTATACGATACAACACGTAATTACTTTTTATAATATTTACCATTTTATACTTTGTGTTTTGAGTTTATTCAAAAATTATATCTTTAATTTTTTAACTCATCAACATATCTTTAAGTTAAATTTAATACATAAATCTATACCTTTCTACAATCAACATTCAATTTTAACCTTAAGAAGACCTAAATATTCTTGAATAAAAAATGGTAAATAAAAAAATTAAACTTACAATTTTGACCTTAATAATATGCAAAATATATTTAAAATGGGTTCTTTTTTTATTTTTATTTTTGTAATATTGAAAAGTATTCGTTTTCCTTTTTCTCTTTATTTTAAGGATAATTTGGTTATATTAAAGATTAAAAGTAATTGCTCCCCAAAATAAGGTATAATTTATATGTTAAATCTGAAGATATATATTTGATGAGATTAAAAATTAAATTTATAATTTTTAAATAAACTCAAAATATAATGTGTAAGAATATAAATATCCCTTACTTTTTTTTAAGTTTGTACGTAGTTGGGCGTGAAAGTGTTAGGCCGATTACACATTGTAAATATACAACTATAACAAATAATTTTAACAAATAACTTACATCTATTTTTTATTTTTTTAATATACTTACGTCTAAATTTTTACAGTAATCTTTTTCTTCTCTTTTCTTTTCTTTTTTTTTTTTTTTTTGGCTAATCCTTTATGGTAGCATCTTTTTGAAAAAAGATATATAGCAGTAAATTGTTGAGACGAGTGCTTTTAAAAAAATATAGTAATTATATTGTGACACGATCACAAAAAAAATTTGTAACAATTTGACTATTTTAGATAGCTTTTAAAACATATTATAATTCTATTGTGACACGACCATAAAAAATTGTAACAATTTGGCTATTTTAGATAATTTCTCTATAAAAGAGGAGAGAGAGAGAGAAAAAAAACTTTCTGGAGCCTTACTCCACCTCCAAATGCATAGTAGGTTCTATATCCTTGTATTTGCATGCACGAAGTGGCAAGGATGAGGTTGAGATGGTAATGGAAGCAATGGCGCGTTTGGAATTCATTCCAAATGATTTTATTTTTTGTATGAAAATGAAAGTGAAAATGTTTTCAATCTCAGAGAGAAATCATTTTTAAAAATATGTTTGGTAGTTTTATCAAGAGATTATTTTCAGTATAAAAAACCTCATTAATGCCTCTCTCTGCTCGAGAGA